CCCTACAGGAATCAGGCCCTCCAGGGCAGTCTGGTTTTGCAAACCCCCTTTTGCTTGCTCCCACTGGTTTACTACCCGATAGGCCCTTCCTTGGTGGCTCTGTATGGCAGGCAATAGGCATGTTTTCTTGTCTTCCAGGTCAATATCCAACGCAGCCAACCTACCCCGTGCAGCCTCCTGGGAACCCGGTGTACCCTCAGACCTTGCATCTCCCTCAGGCTCCACCCTATACCGATGCTCCGCCCGCCTACTCAGAGGTGCTCCTAGTTTACTGGACTTGACCCTGGTTGAGAATACTACTTTTGGATCACAGTTTCAGTCCTTAGCTAAGTCTCACTCCATATATTGACAAACAGAAGAATGAATAATGAATCATCTAAAACAACATATAGTTCATCAATATCTGTTGGGTTCAGAATGTATTATCTGATTATTGTGCATTATTTGGCACAGGCTGAAGTTAAGATGAGTTTGCATTCTTTCAGTTAAAGGTTAGCTGTAGCAGGAAGTGATTTAAGAATATTGAGTGGTAGGGGAAAGGCAACTTGTATAACTTCTAGATTATAATCTGAATAAAGAGAAGTAAGAGTGACTCATTAAAGAGGAAACAGGAATGAAATCTGAAATAGGAATGTCATCAAGTAACATTTGGCCTTCTCCTGCCTTTTCTAGCTCTATCGTCCGAGCTTTGTGCACCCAGGGGCTGCCACCGTCCCCACCATGTCGGCTGCATTTCCTGGCGCCTCACTGTATCTGCCCATGGCCCAGTCTGTGGCTGTTGGGCCTTTAGGCTCCACAATCCCCATGGCTTATTATCCAGTTGGCCCCATCTATCCACCGGGCTCCACAGTGCTGGTGGAAGGCGGGTATGATGCAGGTGCCAGATTTGGAGCTGGGACTACTCCTGGCACTATTCCTGTGAGTATGACTTTATCAGAAAAAACTCAGCCCTTGTGTATTTTAACTTTCTGAAATGACTCCATATTCATCCTTTCACCATCCTTGTATAAGAATTGCTGGTATTAGTGTAACCAATGACGGCCACTAGTCAGGCAGAAAGTGACTGAGAGGGCAGGAGAACTGTGGCAGGTCAGTAGCATCTGGAACATTCACTGGCTCTGAGTTAACCAGATTCCTTGGCTTTCCAGTCCTAGGAGTCTTACCTGCTGCTTGTGCAGTTCACTTTGGTACAGTGAACTGCTCTAGTGACATTTTGTATTCATTCCATAGCTTTTACTTAATATTTGCCATCAGCATGGAGCCATGCTGATTAAAAAAGTAGAACGCATAGTCTCTATTAAGTAGCTTTTAGAAAGATACCAAAGAGTTTAGTTATATCTCCTGCTTAGTTTCCCTCTACGTGGGATTTAGAGCCCAAGTGGTCCTTGCTAGGTCTTCCCCCCCACCCCCCCAATGGATTTTTAGAGAGAGTGGAAGGGGGGTTGAAGAGAGAGAAACATCGATGTGAGAAAGACACATCATTTGGTTGCCTCTCGGGGCAGGGATTGAGCCTGCAACTGAGGTACATGTCTTTGACCTGATGAACCCATGACCCTTCAGTCTGAGGGCCTTGCTACGCCTTGAGGCCTGTCTACTCACCATATGTTAGAGATGAGGTGGGAATGGTGTCATTAGGTAGAGCCTTTTGGTTATCCCATTGAAAAATACTGAGGGACCCTGTGGTATAGGACCATGGACCTGGCACCCCATCCCTGTTTTTGGAATGTGGGTAGGAAACCACTGGGTCTACACTACCCATACTCAGAAGGGATCCATAGGCTTTATCTTGAAGCTAGAGCCCTTGGAGTAAGTAGTGCACATGTGTCAAACACAAGGCCCGCGGGCCAAATCCGTCCCGCCAGGCCTTGCAATGTGGCCTGCACCGCGCTGTCATCACTGCACTCCGCTGCATTTCCATCACAATGACAGTTTATGACTGTTCAGTAAACCATTCGGCCCGCGATTTAGGCTGGATTTTAGATTTTGGCCCCTTCTCTGATTGAGTTCGACACCCCTAAAGTAGTGCATGCTTTCCTGTTTGTATCTTTGGGTTCACAGATCTGCTTTAGTACCCAGATTGGGGGTACAGCTAGCTCCTAAAGTTGCTTTTGGTCAGCACACTGCCATCTTCTTAACAGGTCTTCTGTTCACCTGTGTCCATTTCCCTTGTGTCAGCTGCCCTATGCCCAGTCAACCTTGTCTTTTCCTTTCAGCCTCCACCGCCTGGATGCCCTCCCAATGCCGCTCAGCTTGCAGTCATGCAGGGAGCCAATGTCCTGGTAACTCAGCGGAAGGGGAACTTCTTCATGGGTGGTTCAGATGGTGGCTACACCATCTGGTGAAGACCCAAGGCCACCTCTGTGCCGGGAAAGACATCACATACCTTCAGCACTTCTCACGATGTAACTGCTTTAGTCATATTAACCTGAAGTTGCAGTTTAAGACACATGTTGTTGGGGTGTCTTTCTGGTGCCCAAACTTTCAGGCACTTTTCAAACTTAATAAGGAACCATGTAATGGTAGCAGTACCTCCCTAAAGCATTTTGAGGTAGGGGAGCTATCCATTCATAAAATGAATGTGGGTGAACCAGCCCTAAAGATCTTCCTTTAATTCCTCTGGAGTAATACTGTACCATACTGGTCTTTGCTTTTAGTAATAAAACATCAAATTAGGTTTGGAGGGAACTTTGATCTTCCTAAGAATTAAAGTTGCCAAATTATTCTGATTGGTCTTTAATCTTTAAGTCTTTGATTTATATTGCTTGTTATAAGTGAAACGCATTAGTTGTCTACTTTTTCTTTTCCATCTTTTTTCCCACATCCCACGCCAACCCATCCTCCATTCCCTCCCGCCAATCTCCATCAAATCAGTGGTGCAGGACAGAAAGCCAGTCAGACTAATTTCCTTCTCTCCTTGCACTTGTCCCCACTTGTCATCTTTAACTTGTCTTTCACAAGGATCCTCTGAAACCCCGTCTGTGCCCAAAGCACAGACCCCATTATTTCTGTTTTTGCATCTCCTCAGGCAAAAGCGGAGGGTGCCTTTTGGACCCTCCTCATAGGCTGTCTCTTCCATGAACCAAGCCCAACCTTGTTTTGGTGCCAGAAAAACAGCTTATTTGAACAAAGGATAGCAGCACAAACTGTAAACAACAGTTTGCTTAAAATGTGTGTGTTGGTGGGGAGGGCAAGGAGGAGAATGTATTTCATAAGCCTGATGACTTTAGAGCCAAATTTAAGTGGAGTTGTCAGATAAAAAATTGGTTACCATTTATTGTCCAAGCGTCTCCTGCAGCCATCATGGCTCCCAGTAATTCCTAAGCTGCGTTAATGTGGTCATGTTGGGAATGCCTCTACAAAATGACTTGAGTCCAGTGAAATCTCATAGGGTTAAGAATGTTTCAGGGATCCTTAATATTTTAATTTTTGTTTTTTGCAATTGGGTTTTATTTTTATAATTTCAGTTCATCTAAATTTTGTGTTCTGTACATGTGATGTTTGACCATACCATTGACTTATGGAAGTTAAGCGTTGTATGTCTCTCTATTTACACTGGTGCACTTAACTTGTGGATTTTTTTATACTAAAAATGTAGAATAAAGACTATTTTGAAGATTTGAATAAAGTGATGAAGTTGCATTACACCTCACTTCAAGGATTCATTACTCCGCTTGTTTTTAGATTCTATTTATAGCTTTTATATCCCACCAAGAATTCAGATAGGTGCCACTGCCATTTTAAACAATTAATTTTACTTCCTAAGCTCTTTAATTTTTCCCCATTGTGTGAAAAATTTCCCCCTTATTTTGTCCCCCTTATTCCTTAACTCACTCCCCTTTCAATGTGTGTGTGTGTGTGTGTGTGACCGGGAATCAAACTGTGGTTCATAGGCTGACACTCAACCATAGCCACGCCAGCTGGGCTCAGATTCTAAAAGTCTATTATGCCAAAGGAATTCAGAACATAAACTTAGAAATAAGGGAGTGATATAGACTTCTAACTTCCCCTAAAGTTTGACTTGAAAATGTTTTCAGTATAAAAGTTTGTGTAAGTTCAGGGTGACCTCAGTTTCTCCAAAGTTCTGTGTGAAAACTGGAATCTGGGTTGCTAAGATTGACTCCTCACCTCCTGAGGTGTTATTCTGGGTGGACTTGGACAATGGAGACAATACATTAAAGACTTCAAAGAAGATTTAGCTTAATCCCAAAGAAATATCTGGGGAGTTAAAAACTGATCGATTGCCTCTGGTATGCTCCCCAACCAGGGATCGAACCCGAGACCCTTTGTGCACAGGGCAGTGCTCCAGCAGCTGCCTGGCAGGGCCAATGGTGCCTTTAAAACATACCTCATTCTGAGATCCAAGTTAGATCCAAGAAGCTTCTCAGCTTGATTCAAGGAGATAGTGGGAGAAGTAGTAAGTAGACTGCTCCTGGTGCCCTCTGCACACAAATAGATTCTGGGAAATTGTGGCTCTTGCCAGGATAGAGAATGAGTCAATCAATCTCCCAGGGTATGTTTGTAATGACACTTTCTAGGACCAATTTTGTTTCAAGCGTGCCTCCCCCCCCCCCCTTTAAAAAAATTGTTTTGGGAACTTCTAAAACTTCTTAAGAGTTCTTTTAGCTTGGGAGAGGACATAGGCAAAGGAGTCTCGCAAAAGAAAATGTCAGAGAGTTTAAGCAGGGATAAGGCACAATGTAAAGGGTAACGACTTCCCTGCCATAACCTGCCTCTCGCTAAGATCTCCATCCCTCTCCAGAAGAAAAGAGGAAAGAGCCCCAATTCCTTCATGGCTGGGTGTGACATGCCCAGGATGCTGTAAGACCACCCCCGCGTTTACCAATGCACAAGCGGTAGTTTTGTGTGTTGGCTGCTCCACCCCTGTCGGCCTACAGGAGGGAAAGCCAGGCTCACGAAAGGCTGCTCCTCCAGAAGGCGGCAGGAAGAAAAACGCCCTGTCAAGATGAGCGGGAAACATCCCAATGAAGACATTTTGGATTAAAAAAAGTAGTTATTTCTTGTACATGAGAATGATTTCTTAATGAAAAATTTTAATTGTGATAAAAATAGCATTAAGTATGAGGCCGGGGAATAGGGGAAGGATGGGCTCAGATTAAGGGACGATGCACATTCACTAGCAGGTAAGGTATCTCTCTAGTCTTCTACCCCGCACGCCTGGCCTTTTGTTGGGGTATCAGCCTCTGGGAAGAACTCCTGTGGACACTACCTCCGCTGGGGCTGTCACTAGGTAGGGAACAGAGCAGCCGCCAGTGACCTCACGCCTCCCCTGTGACTTGTGAGAAAAACCTGGAGATGACTGGGCACATACTGAAATGCAGCCTGGTACAGCCCCGCCGCCTTGGTCAGTGACAAACACTCCTGTCTAAAGACATCAGCAGCTTTCTCCCTGTCCCTGGTCCCTACTGTCCGTGATGTTGGACTTGGGCCTCCTCCTGGAAGGAGCTCAGGGTTGCCCATTCAATGCTTCTCACTGGCTTCGGATAAAACGTGCACCTAATAAGTTAAATAGTCACTGTGTCAGCACTGGAGCCTGGAGAAGCTCCTGGGGCCTCAGATGAAGTATTCCTCCTTCTCCCTGCCCTTGGCCGCGTCACTCTCCATCTGAAGGATGGTGCTGGGCTCCCCTTCGGCCGGCTCGTAGGTGACGTAGCTGCCTTTGTTCTTGTACAGATAAAAGAAGATCAGGATCACGACCGAGAGCAGGGTGAGGAAGACCACGGTGATGACAACTTGTAAAGGAGAGGGGGAAACAGATGTTTTAGGATCCAGCGTGTATCAGTGATTCCCGGGGCCCCCAGAACTAGACGGCTCCCTCGCTTTTCACAAGGATCCTCCTGGTCTAGTTAACGTGTCCACTTCCAGTCTATATTCCCCCACCAAGCCCAATCCCCGTGGGACATGATCTGGGGACTCAAGCTAAGGATACAAGGTTTCTGACTTCTGATACAATGGAACTCTCTCTCCATCAGTTCCTGATGATTATGATAGAAACAGGAAGGAGGCCAACAGGAAATGGCTTATCCAACAGGAAGGGCTGTTTGAATCCATAGCCTCCTGCAGGGGGTTCTCTGCTCCCTCCTATCCTCTTCCTCACCCACTTGGCAAACCACACATCCTCCTCCCTGCCCACACACTGGAGTGTGGCGCCCATACCCGCCTAGATCTACGCGTGGCCCCCTCCCAACGATCATGTACTGGCAGTGCCTCTGCCAGAAGCCCCAGGGAGTCTTTCTGGGCTTTGTGTGTGTGTGAGACAGATAACCTACGTGCCCAATGAGCCCCTTTGTGGGTCTACTCCCTGACTTTTAATGCTTTCCTGGACAGGGAAGTCCTAGTTCACCACCACGGGTTCCTGGCTGACTGGAACGAGATGGCCCTGAACTCAGCAGGTCCCTTGGATCTGGCTCAGAGCCGCGGTTACCTGCGATGAGTGCTGTGCTGGCTTCAGCTTCAGGGGACAGGGCCGCGGTGACCTGCCGAACGGTGGTGATCAGTCCTGGAAAATTTACAAAAGTGGAGAGGGAAATGGGTTGAGTTGTTTTGTTCTAAAGCGTATGTTGGTCCTTCAAGCTTCACCACCCTTGTTCCCTATTCAAAAATTTATCATTCAACTTCGATAGTAAACCCACACAGAAAACCTGGGGAACAGAGGAGAAAATAAACCACCACCCAGAGACAGAGAACATCCTGACGGATTTCTTTCTGCCTGACTTCGGAGTTAAAGAGTGTGGGCTCTAGAGTCTGACTGACAAGGTTCAGTCCCTCAATGGCTGTGGAATCTTGAGAAAATGACCTCACTGTTCTGTGCAGCGCTTCCTCCCCTGAAAAACGGAGAGAAGAGCGTCTACTTTACAGGGTTGTTGTGACAGGTGGTAACTAATAAAGCTAAGCTGTTATTAATTAGGAACGCATGTTTCTGCATAAGTGAAATAAAATGCTGAATGTATATACATAATAGATATACTATATGGTACATGCATTTCTTCAATGTTCTTACAAACTCTTTGTAAACACTACCTAAAAGTTTTTAATAAAAATTTTTTTAATCTTCACCTGAGAATATGTTTGACTTAGAAAGGGATGAAGACAGAGGGGGGAGCGGGGAGAGAGACAGAGAGAAAGAGTGAGAGAGAATTATTGCTATGAGAGAGAAACATCGATTGGTTGCCTTCTGTATGTGTCCCAATGGGAGATCGAACCTGCAACCTTTTGCTGTATGGGACAATGCCCCAATCTAGCCACACCAGCTAGGGTATGTAAACATTATTTTTAAATAATGAGATGAGCCAAAACCGGTTTGGTTCAGTGGACAGAGCGTCGGCCTACGGACTGAAAGGTCCCAGGTTGATTCCGGTCAAGGGCATGTACATTGGTTGCGGGCACATCCCCAGTAGGGGGTGTGCAAGAGGCAGCTGATCGATGTTTCTCTCTCATCGATGTTTCTAACACTCTATCCCTCTCTCTTCCTCTCTGTAAAAAACCAATAAAATATATTTTTAAAAAAATGAGATGAGGTTCCTTATTAAGAACCCTTTCTACATTTCTGGAGCAGGCCCTGTAATTGGAAAGGTTCTGAAACAAGGCCTCTCCTATCCTAAATCGTATCCCGCTCCCTCCCACTCTTAGTGACTGACCCAGCCCTGAAGCCATTATCCTGAGTGGGACACACAGAACCACTGGCCTCCAGAAGTCCCTTTTCAACGTGTTCCTGGGAGTTAGGGTTTTAGTATAAACATGTGGAAAGGTAACAATTAAGTTAAGGTCACTGTAGGACAGAAGTACCCTGAGCAAACAGGCTGGTGGATGCTGTTTTCAGGAAGCATCCACAGGAAGCATCTCAATGTTCACTCCATAGATGATAACAGCATCGCCCAGTAACTGCCTGCCAGGTGCTGTGTGCCAGGTACTGTGCTAGGCACGCTGGGCATATAACAGTGAGCAAAACATTCCTGGCCTGTCCTCACTGAACTTACCCTCCGCCACACCACAGTTCACAGTAACGTACTTCCCATAAATGCACCAAAGGAAATACCCGGCGCTTAGCATGTGACGGAGGGGCCTGGCCTAGCCTTCAAACGGAGACTGCCTGGCTCCCCAGGAGGAAGACCTGCATAGGGAGCTGAAGCAGGCGTAGGAGCTCACCACGGGGTAGAAGGAAGTGGGGCACATTCTATGCAGAGGGAAGAGCCTAGGAGTTCTGAGACAAAAGGATCCCAAGGCCAGTGTGGCTGGAGCACAGGCACAGCGTGCTGCGTGTCCAGTGCCGGACACGAATAATGTAGGCACGTAAGTTTAACATAAAGGTAAGCAATATTCAGTTCAATCAATCCACAATTTACTTTGCCCCTACTATGTGCCTGAGGCACTGTCCTAGATGCTCGGAAGCAGCAATAATGAGGGCAACCAGGGAGCTGAATGTTAGTGATGAGGGTTCGGGGCGCAGACACCTGTGAGTCCCTGAAAGAGAATCTGGGAGGAAAGATGATTCCTGGAAATTCTGCAAATGATGCCAACGATGACAGCTTTGTGCTAGGTGCTTTACCGACATGATTATTAGTCCTTAGAACTCCAGTCGCTTCCAAGTGGTGTTTTTATTTGCCCACGTAGACCCTGAGGCCCCGGGGGAGGTAAGTGGCACACTTTATATTATAAACGAAGAAATAGTGGGTGGAGCCAAGATCTGAATCAGCAAAGTATTAATGCTCGCTGGAACCGGTTTGGCTCAGTGGATAGAGTGTCAGCCTGCGAACTGAAGGGTCCCAGGTTCAATTCCGGTCAAGGGTATGTACCTTGGTTGCGGGCTCATCCCCAGTAGGGGGTGTGCAAGAGGCAGCTGGTTGATGTTTCTCTCTCATCGACGTTTCTAGCTCTCTATCTCTCTCCCTTCCTCTCTGTAAAAAAATCAATAAAATATATTTTTAAAAAATCAATAAAATATATATATTAAAAAAAAAAGTATTAATGCTAAACCTTCCTGCCTCTGTCTTTTTCTTGTTTCCAACAGGAAAAGAGTGGGAGAGTTAATAAACGACAATATGAGGCAGCACAACAAGCTTTCTAAAAGGTTCTATGGTTTAGAGGACACGGGTAAAGGCAGAAGAAAACCAGACAACCACCATCAAACACAGACTGTCCGGCTTCCAAGAGTGCGCCTTCTACGGGGATTCACCCACAGGCGATCGGCACACAGACAATGACGTCAGGGTCACGTGGAAATCACGCTGGTTCATAAGCAACTGTCCCAGCTCTCGCATTTGATGTTCTACATCTAAAAAGAACATTCCTGCAACATCAAGACCTTAAGAAACACAAGATTCAATGGGAATGTCTTCCTTGGGTGCAGTCATCAGTTGGTTTCTACTGTTATTAAGCCGCCTGGTGAAGCAGTAAGTACAAGTGAAGGGCTGACAAATACATGTACCTGTATGTGGAAGCCAAGGGTTAAGGAGGATTTTTAGTTTTAACGAACAATTTTACTTTGTTGGAGGCGAGGAGTCTCTGGCGTCTCCGTCTGAGAGGAGGACGCACACTGGCCAGGGCACAGGGGGTGAAGGACGGGCAGGGATTCCAGGCTGGAAATGCTGACGGAGAGTTCACTGTCCATGTTTTATTTATTTATTTTAAAAATACATTTTATTGATTTTTTTACAGAGAGGAAGGGAGAGAGATAGAGAGCTAGAAACGTCGATGAGAGAGAAACATCGACCAGCTGCCTCTTGCTCGTCCCCTGCTGGGGATGTGCCCGCAACCAACGTACCTGCCCCTGACTGGGATCGAACCTGGGACCTTTCAGTCCGCAGACCGACGCTCTACCACTGAGCCAAACCGGTTTCGGCTCACTGTCCATTTTTTAATTGAGATGGCTGTCGTATTTTTAGGGTTTTCGTTACAGAGTTTCATAAGCGTTGAGTGGTCGGTCCTAATCCTGTATTTCCTGTAAGCCCATTTTTAGTAGTGTGATTTCAGAATGTGGGTCTTACAAAACAAAACAAAACAAAACACATCACGTTTTATAGCAGAAATGCCTGTATTAGAGACTTAGAAGAATAGTGTCAGAAAACGGGCAAACAAATTTAAAAAGTGTTATATTTGGAGCAAGAACAGGGAAAGAGCTAAGGGTGCTTTTTGGGCCTGAGGGTGTCGGCGTGGAGGTGACAGAGAAAGCAAGATTCATCCAGCCTTTTATTTGCCTCTGTCTCCCATCAAAGAGAAGGATTTTTGCACAGAAGCATCAGCAGGAACTCGGTGAGGGGGGTGGGAAGTGAGCTTAAGAGAAGAGATGCAACCCAGAAAGCACCAGACTGATCTAAAAGGGATCCAAACAAACGACAGTCCACAGCACTGAGAGGACACGTAAAGGGCCACTATCGGCGACGTGGGAGCGTCTGAGGAAGAGGGGCCAGGAGCCTGACAAGCCATCGAAAAGGTGGATTCTGTAAATAGCTGGTGATTTCCACAGAGTTCCCCCGCAAAATTCTAGGACACGCTCTCAGGGCCTGCTCTGGGGCCTTGATCTGAAACAGGATGCATGAGGATCACTGTGAGCACGAGGCTCAGACAAGCCGCCCAGCCCGCTGAGATGGAGAGTCCAGGCTCACAGAGAAATTAACAGTGAATTCCGTAGGTATTTACTGGCCGTGTACTCGGTGCTAGGCCCTGGCCGTATGCCAGCGCACACAACCAACAGCCCGTGCCTTCTCACTTCCTTAAAAATTAAGCACCATTACCATATGAGCCAGCAATTCCTCTTCTGGTTGTACACCCGAGAGAAATGAAAGCATGACCTCAAAGAGATATTCACACGCCCGTGTTCAAAGCAGCACTAGTCATACAGCTAAAACGCAAAATAACTCAAATGACCAACGGATAAGCAAAATGCCATGTACACATGCAATGGAATACTATTCAGTCTTAAAAAGGAAGGGAATTCTGGCACATAATACAGACTGGGTGAACCTGGAAGACATGCCACGTTGAAATAAGCCACCGTGAAAGGATAAGTATGGTATGACTCCACTTCTATGAGGTAGGTGGAACAAATTCAGAGACAGAAAGTGGAGTAGTGATCATGAAGAGGTGGGAGGAGGGGAGAATGGGGGATTCTTGCTTAACTGTGCAGCGTTTCAGTTTGGGATGAAAAGCTGTGGTGATGTTGTGTAACAATGTCCTTCAGCCTGGAGACACGACACAGCTGTTCCCCGTGAGGAAGAACACAGAACTGCAGACTTAAGCATCTTCAGAGTTAGCCCTGGCCCGGGGGCTCAGTTAACCGGAGCGTTGTCCCACACACCAAAAGATGCAGGCTTGGTCCCTGTCTGGTCATGTAAGGGAGGCAACGAATTGATGTTTCTCTCTCTTAAATCGATAAAGACATATCCTCAAATTAAAAAAAAGAAAACTGTAAATTTTATGTTATGTATAATTTTACCACAATTAAAAAAAAATGTTTAAAATTTACGTTCTGAGCGGGGAGGACAATAAACAAAGTGAAAAAAC